CAGGCATGCCAGTGATGAGCTAAGGGATGGTGCTCTAGAATCAGTAAGGTCCTTCAGTCAGCCAGTGAGGTCCTTCAGTCAGCTCCACAAGGTGCTGTGTGTAAGGAAGTGCATTTGAAGTGCTTCTGCAGAAACGCATGCAGTATGAGGAATAAAATGGATGAGCTAGAAGTCTTGGCCCAGTCCCACAGCTACGACATCATTGGCATAAGCAAAACCTGGTGGGATGAGTCCTGTGGCTGGTGTGCTGCAATAGATGGCTACAGGCTCTTCAGGAGGGACAGGCAGGGTAGGTGAGGTGGTGGGGTAGCAATGTATGTGAAGCATGGGCTGGACTGTATGGAATTTCAAGTTGGGGATGGCAAAGTTGAGAGCCGCTGAGTAAGGATTAAGGGACAAACAAATAAGGGATGGGAGTCTATTACAGACCTCCCAGCCAGGACGACAACGCTGATGAATTATTCTTTGCAGAACTAAGAGATGCCTTGAGATCAACTCCCCTTGTCCTTATGGGAGATTTCAACTTGCCAGATGTCAACTGGGATCAACACACGGCTGACACGAGCAAGTCCAGGAGGTTCATAAAGCACCTAGATGATAACTTCTTGGTACAGGTGCTAAGGGAGCCAACTAGGAAAGGTGCCCTTCTTGACCTGTTACTGGAAAACAGAGGGTCTTTTGGGAGACGTGGCAATTGGCAGCCATCTTGGTCATAGTGACCATGAAGTGGTTGAGTTTAGAATTTATGGTGACAGAAGGAAAACTACCACTAAAACTTCAGCCCTGGGTATGGGGATAGTAGACTTCAGACTGCTCAGGGAACTAGTCAGCAAGGTCCCCTGGGAAGCTGCTTTTGAAGGCACTGGCGTCCATCAATGCTGGTCAATCTTTAAGCACTACCCTCTAAAAGCATAAGATCAGGCAATTCCAAAATATCAGAAGGTAGGCAGGCGGGGCAGAAGGCTGGCCTGGCTGACCAGAAATCTTCTACTGGAGCTTAGATGGAAAAAGAAAGTGTATAGCTGCTAGAAGGAGGGTCAGGCAATGAGGAAGGAATACGGGATGCTGTTCATGTTTGTACAGAGAAAATTTGTGGGGCCAAAGCCCAACTAGAGTTCAAGCTGTCCATGTCTGTGAGAGATGATAAAAAAGTTTTTTTTAGATATGTTAACAGAAAAAGGAGAACCAAAGAAAACATAGGTCCCCTACTTGATGGGGAAGGTCTCCTCACAGACAATGACATAGACAAAGCAGAGACATTTAATGCCTTCTTCACCTCTGTCTTCAATGCTGGTGATGGGCTTTGGGACCCTGGGAGTTGTGGTTGACAGCAAGTTGAATATGAGGCAGCAGTGTGCCCTAGCAGCCAGGAGGGCCATCCATATCCTGGGATGCATCAAGTACAGCATCACTAATCGGTCAAGGGAGGTGATTGTCCCGCTTTACTCTGCACTGGTCTAGCCTCACCTTGAGTACTGTGTGCAGTTCTGGGCACCACAGTACGAGAAGGATATTAAACTGTGGGAGAGTGTCAAGAGGAGGCCAATGAAGGGCCTAGAGGGGAAGACACATGAGGAGCGGCTGAGGTCACTGGGCCTGTTCAGCCTGGAGAAGAGGAGGCTGAGGGGGGACCTCATGGCAGTCTACAACTTCCTCGCGAGGGGGAGTGAAGAGGCAGGTGACCTATTCTCTGTAAACACCAGTGATAGGACCCGCGGGAATGGTGTTAAGCTGAGGCAGGGGAAGTTTAGGCTGGACGTCAGGAAGAGGTTCTTCACCACGAGGGTGGTTGCACATTGGAACAGGCTCCCCAGGAATGTAGTCACTGCACCAAGCCTGTCTGAATTTAAAAAGTGATTGGACTGCGCAGTTGGTTACATGGTCTAAACTTTTGGGTAGATCTGTGTAGTGTCAGGAGTTGGACTTGATGATCCTTACAGGTCCCTTCCAACTTGGGATATTCTATGATTCTATAACAGCAAATATGTGTATGAAAATCCAAATCTAAGTCCAAGTAATACTGAAGGGAATGCCTCCGATATCTCCAGGGGACTTTGGATTCATCTGTCATAGCTGGATGCAAGGTATGGCTTTATGTATTTTGGAATGATGCATAAATATAATTTGATCAGAATCACATTAGAAGTCGTGTATTATTTCGTAAGTGTGCTTTCCCCTGACAACATTAAAACAGTTTGAAACATTGAACTGCCCACTTTTTAGAAATAACACCTGCAATATAATTTGAAACAACCTCTTAAGTAAACCCAGCTTTCTGAATAAATTAAGATAAACAATTTCAGGTTTTCGGTGTGTTAGCTGCTGAAACAGTTTACCTATTTTTTTTCTCTGCCTTCAACAAAAGAACAAACAAAACAGCACAACACTCTTTCTAAATTTTGAAAACATCTGGAAAATACTTCAATGTAGGAAGTTCTCTAAAAAAATTTAAGACATCACACCTTTGTGATGCACCCCCCAAGTTTCCACCTGAACTTATTTATGAATATTAGTTGGAGTAATGTGAAGTAAATTATCATCAATGGGTTTAAGAAGTAGGGTAAATAGGATTCATGCACTCCTTTTAAACTTGGGGCTTCCCCTAAAGTTCTTTCTTAGAAAGTCATAGCAATTCTTCACATTGGAACCTTTGCTTCCTTTACTTGTGTGGTGGTTTTACCCAGATGGACAGCTGAACTCCACCAAAGCCACTCTCTCGCTCCCCCTCCTCAGATGAAAAGGGGAGAAAATACAATGGAAAGGGCTCAGTGTTTGAGGTAAGGACAGGGAGATCATTCATCAATTACTATCACAGGCAAAACAGACTCAACGTAGGGAGATTAATATAATTTATTACCTATCACTAGCAGATGAGAACAGTGAGAAACTAAAAGCAAACTAAAAACAGCTTTCCCCATCCACTCTCTTCTATGCCCTTCCCCCAAGTACTACAGAGGAATGGGGAAAGGGTCCCCTCTCATTCCTACCAGCCATTCCATATTAATTGCTCAGCATGACATCATAGGGTATGGAATATCCCTTTCACTTGTTCGGGTCAGCTGTCTTGGTTCTGTCCCCTCCCAGTTCTTTGTGCACCCTCAGCCTCCACACTGGCAGAGTAGTGTGAGAAGTTGAAAAGTCCTTGGCTTAGTGTAAGCACTGCTCCAAAATAATTAAAACATCAGTATGTTATCACCATTATTCTCATCCTAAATCCAAAACATGGTACCATACCAGCTACTAGGAGGAAAAATAACTTTATTCTAGAAGAGACCAGGACACCTTGCCAAGTAAACCCAATATAAGTTCACAGTCACTGGCTAGATATGTCTTGGGGCAAGTACTGTTTAAAATCTTTATCAACAACATAGACAATGGGATTGAGTACACCCTCAGAAAGTCTGCAGATGACACCAAGCTGAGTGATGCGGTTGATGCAACAGAAGGAAGAGAAACCATCCAAAGGGACCCAGTCAAGCTTGAAAAGTGGGCTCATGTGAACCTAACGAGGTTTAACAAGTGCAAGGTGCTGCATCTGGGTCAGGGCAAACTCAAACATGAGCACAGACATGAGTACAGACATGATAGGACAAGGGGGGATGGCTTTAAACTAAGAGAAGAGAAATGTAGATTAGGTGTTAGAAGGAAATTTTTCACTCAGAGGGTGGTGATGCACTGGAACAGGTTGCTCATAGAGGTTGTAGATGTCCCATCCAATAGAGGTGTTCAAGACCAGGTTGGGCAACCTGATCTAGTGGGTGGAATCCCTGAACATGGCAGAGGGTTGGAACTGGGTGATCTTTGAGGTCCCTTCCAACCAAAACTGTTCTGTGATTCTATGATATGTATTTCAAACTTAGAGACAGTCTGATTTTTTCAATGATTTAACCTAATCTTGAGTTTCCTAAAAAATGTGGGAGTCTGAATCCCACTGAAATCCTGTTACAGTAGTGCTATTAGGAATATGTCCTTTATGTGACTGAATCAAGTGGAAAAAACTAGCCATGCTTTGCAAAGACCTGGAATGTGTCTAAGTCCAGAACATTTCTGAAATGGCTTGAGAAATACTTTGATGTGATTCATATTCTGTTCAGAACAGATATGTATATTTTCTAAATGCTTATAGCACATTTTATCTTCATAATTGCTTTACAGACATTAATTAATCCTCACAGTGAGGTGAATGATAAATTAAGGAATGAAGAATTCACAGCGGTTACTTTATCTAGGAAATATAGTTATTTTCTTCAGCATGAAGTGTTCAGCCACAGACAGAGAGTTTCACTGGCTTTTTTTGTATGTCACAACAATTGTATTAACATTTGATAAGAATGAAATTCAACCTGTGGATTTCTTATAAAATGTTCAACATAGCTGAGTTTGATGTAGAAGCTTCAGGAAATTAGCTGTTCAATTTCCATCAGTGTGGAACAAGGAACATTTCCAGGCTCCTCAGGCATAACATGCATAAATTCTGTCCACAGTAAGCTATATAACAGTGTCAAGGTGTTCAAGAGGTGTTCAAGACCAGGTTGGGTGAGGCCCTGGGCGACCTGATCTATTGGGTGGAATTCCTGTAAATGGCAGGGAGTTGGAAGTGGGTGATCTTTGAGGTCCCTCCCAACCCAACCCAAACCATTCTGTTATTCAATGAATCTATTATTTTATAATTGATTCTGTGATTGATTCTATGATTCTATGAAATACATCCAGAACAGGTTGTATTGCTCAGCCTCTCATTCAGTTAAGATACACATAGTAGCAACTGATTTAACAGGTCTCAGATTTAATCTTTGTGGAAAGTCTCTGGCTGCTCTAGATGACCATGCTCTGTATGTAATAGATCAAGCTGCATTTCCTGCTACTGCTGCTGGTAATACTACACAAACTGCTGTCACTGACTCTTACATGTCGCATGATTATCAGCCCCAGCTGATAGTGACCTACATAATTTACTGCTGCTTGCTTTACTTTGAGTCAGTCTATTACAGCTTGCTTGGCTCTACTCTTTTGAATGTTAAGGTCAGAAGAACACAGAGCTAACCTGTTGATAAAATAGAATAAATATCTTTATTTGAACACTTTAAACAGTGGACAACCTGTACATGGAGAGTAAACCAGGAGGGGAACATATGGTAAATTTAATGGGGAACTTCTGTGTTTCTTGCCATAAATCTATATTATGGGAAATTGTTATATTGTGGTGGAACCTACAGTAATGTTTTAATGCTGAGAGATTTTGTTAAAGAAAACATTTAATCACCTATGGAAGAGTTCTCTGCTGTACAATGGAATGTCTGACTTTAAAAGTGCATCTTCTATGAAGGCCAAATATCATAACACTTCCAGGCTGAGCCACAGGCATACTGAATAAAAGAAAATGGATGCAGGTGGTTTCTCCAGAGTTTTGAGGTGATTTAGTTGTGAAACAAATGTAAATACATAAGGATAATAGCAAACCTTGGCCATCTACCTGAAGTTTATAAGGTCCATTCAAAGGAAAGAAACAGCAATCTTTATAGGAAATTTCCAATGTTATGTATTTCCAGTAGACAAACAATGTCACTTATTTCTTTTTGTTTATTCTACACAGATCTCAGGTTGACAAGGTTCCCCAGTTAGGTGCTTCTCTTGGACAGAAAGAAAGGGGACAGACAGCCTATTCATGAGCCAGCTCCAGTTTGCTCAGAGTAACTAGAAAGCTGATTCACAATGTTGCAGGACTTCTCCCAGACTGCTGGACCACAACAGCATGTAGCTGGAGCAGTTTCTCTATGCCTTGTTTTTTCTTCTCTTCATAGTGCTCACAGTAATAATCAAAATAATAATAATATCTATATATATTTATAGATTGTAAAAATACCTATTAAATACTTATTTATGATTCTGTTTCTTATGTCCTGGGAGAGGTCTTAAAAATTTGTACAGAAATCTTTCAAATTCAGAAAAGGTCCTTTGATATCTTATCTTTAAATGGCATTCAAAGTTTCTAATTAACTTTTAATTTATCTGTTAAATACTTTAAGGTGACCATCTTTCCATTGCTAGAACAAAAATAAGATTTTCTCTCTGAAGTCATATTGAACTGGCTTTACCCTATAGTTGAAAGAAGGTTTTAAACCTAGAACAATGCCAACCACAGAAAATGGAAAACAATTAAATGTTGCCTAATTGCATTATCTCTTTTTTTTTTTTTTTTTGAAGTTAATAAAAGCATAATATATTTGTACCTGCCATTTGCCTTAGGAAACTGCAGAAGATAATGAAAATATTTTACTATCTATTTTCAAATTATAAGCTGTTGTTTCCAAAGAAAGTCAAAACCCATGTATATTATCACATTATTGTTCTCTGGGGACTGCAGTCACTATAGTGATAGTAATTACATGGCTTCATTAACTTTCTACATTCTACCTGTTATGGGGGTTTCACATTAAGAAAATTTGCATATACAGGAAATGAATGCCGTTTGCAAAGAGCTAATGTCATTAAACATTTAAGAAGCCTCTCTCAAGTAAACACTGGAATATCCATTTAGCAAGCCTTTAAAAACAGTGTAGTCACAATTTTCACTTCAAAGGAAAACATGTAAAAAACATTTACAGTAAGCAACAGCCATTTTAACAAAACTGCTTTAAAATTGGAAATAATTCAATTACTGTCGCAATTGTTACTATGCATAATCAGGTATAATATCCTTCTGTCACATTAATACTAGCTCCTGTTAAGATTGTATATGTGTGCATATGATATACAGTAATGAGTGACCCATATTTAAATATTACATGCAATAAGAAATTTCCTTTTCTAACCTGGAATTGACTAATTCTTGCTATCAAGGTTTGATACATAAAAATAACTTTCAGGTTTTACTGACGAATTTTAAAAAGCAAAGAGACTCTATAAGAACAGATATTTTAAACTGTACTGTAGTAGAAAGAACACAAATGCTTAGTAGTTTGTCAGATTTTTGCTTCGTAGTCTTGAAACAAACCCACTAATTCCAAAAGGAGGATTTTTTTTTTTCTTTTTGCTTGAGCCAGATCTGACTGAGAACATCTAGCTGCTGACTTCAATAGGCATATGATTTTAAAAGCTGTGATTTGAAGCCTTTTTTCTTGTCCAGGACTCATGTAGTAGCATTTTCCTTTCACATAATAGTCTATGTATGTCTCTTTTGAAGCATCTGACCTGATAGTGATTTAATCCCACTCTGTGTTGTGAGTGGATCTAACACTCCTCTCTTAGTTGTCTCTTTTGTCTTGACACTGATAATGACGATAATTCTGAGAATTTTTACTTTACAGCAGCCCAGTGGACAGCATAGTTACCCAGGGATTAGGAAATTAAAACTGGGTTTAGAAAACCCCATGGTCTGTTCTTTGCTTACACCAAGGACATTCATGAAAGACTATCCAACAACAGCTGGTTTGTAGGCAAGTCATGGTAAGCCTTCCTCCTTTTGAACATCAATGAGGGAGGCATTAGGCTTGTAATTAACTGTCTTCTTCAGGAATTTTAGTGCTCAATGTGCAGGTTTTGGAGATCATTCTTTTGAGGCAAGCCATTTTCTCATACAGTGTAATGGAGAATTAAATGTGTAACTGTCTTTTATAGATTCCACTTTAAGGGACTCAAAGGTTCAATACTGATGAATAGGCATTCTAGTACCAAACTTATAGAATCTTAATGTCTTTACTGGTCATGGTTCTTCACGCTCTTTTCTTAATATCTCTCTGAATTAGACTTTCCAAATACCACAGTAACACTTATTTTCCATTGGGTATTACAGGGCTTATATTTGTTCGGCATTTTGAGCTCATCTGATTAAAATTGCTTTAGAAACATAATGCACAAGCAGCTGGACTTCATCCTGTCAATGTGAAGATGTAAAAGAGAACAGAAAACATCTGAAATGTTCTCTTTTGTACCAGTTTTGAGAACAATATCAATCTTCTGCTTACTCTGAATGCAAGGATTATATGAAACTGGCAGTCATCCATAAACAAGAGAGGGGGGAGAAAGAAAGAAGTAGACCAAAATATGAAGACAGAAGTCTGAGGTTCACATGTGAATCTATTTCAAACAGTTAGAGAAGTTACCACTCTTAGTTTAGGTTGCTGGGGGTACTATCCACACAATTAACCAAGGCCATGGCTTTTATGAAGATTTCATTATCAGCTTTTGATGAAAAATCATCTAGTAAAGTCTCCTGTGGTTATTCAAGCTAAAATGACATGGGAAATACAGGGAAGAAAATGACAGGCACTCACACAAGTTCTGACAGAGCTGAAGAGTGATAAAATTATTAGATACTAGAATGTCTCAGTGATATAATTGCCTCCTCCCAGGCTTTGCAGCACTTGTCCCTGTGCTGTCTCTCTCCTCTTCCTCTGAATGGCTTTCCACAGCATGGGAGAGATGGTCTTGGTGGAGAGAAGGGTCCTCCTCCTCTTGCCTCCAATGAGGTGCAGTAGGTACTTGGGAGAAGATTGAGAGAAGAATGTGTTTAAAATGGTGTTTACGTCTCAGGAGCTACAGTAAGAAAAAGGGTTATAAGTGAAAGATAAAGCCCCCAGTATTTGCACCCCAGTCAGTCAAAAATCCAATTTGCTGGAGAGCATGAAGGAATCAGAGTTCTGACAGATGGAAGGAAGAGAAACACTGTTCCCCATGGACAGACTCAAGTGGCCTCATTATTGGAGTAATGTATAGTTGCATCTAGCAAATCTAGACTAGTATTCATTCCTAGTCTGCAGATTTTTCAGTAATGCTCTGAACTGCACAGTGAATATAAAAGTATTCTTCTAGACTACATCTACATGACTGCTGGTACGTGACTTTCCAGATTTTGTCAGTTATCTTTGTCTCCTCAGGATCATCTTTTTTTTTTTATTGTTATTTATTTATTTATTTATTTTCTCATATACCAACTCATTGGTGTAATCTAAATCTTTCTACTTTTTTTTTTTTTTTTTTTTCAACTTAATGCAACCAACTGATTTTCACTAATTATTTTCAATGATTTTCACTGATAAAGTCTCTTCTTTTCCAAGTCAGAGATGGATTTCTTGTTTACAACAGTTCATGTCAATGGTTTCTCTCACACTTCTTAAATGTGTTTTCCTTTTGCAATATATTCCTCAGTGACATTACGTTGTATAGGTGACTTTCCAATTGGTTATTACAAGTACTGGGACATTCTTTGAACTCTATCGGTTTTGTGAATTGCAACTATTGATCTGATCTTTGTCACTGGAAGCTTGTGATGCAAAACCTTCCTTCTCCATCTCAGTTAACTCTTTTTTTTTTTTTTTTCCTTTTCTGCATCTTTCTTCAATTTGAACTTCCTTCCCTATTCACTAATTTCTTTATTTTTCTTCTCAGCAGATATATTTCCTCTCCTTTCCTTTAGCAGCTGCTCTTAAGGAGTTTCAATGTTGTATGGTTATTTGTGAGCTAGTCTGTTTTACTCTCTTGATACCTGCTGTCTTTACTTGAAGCCTCTAAACCAGTAATTGGTAACAAGTTTCTCTCAGTGGGTTTTACACACAGCTGCAAGGCAGAAAATAAACAGTTCTTTCAAGTCTTCACTCTTAGGGTTACAGCTGTATACTAATGACTTCCCCAGCTTGCTAATGCAGGTTTTAAAGAGACACCATCAATTTTTATTAACAGATTAAAAAAAAAAAAAGTTTTCCACAGTTTAGGCAGGACCTTATAATGACAATAAAAACAATATCTTTAAATTAAATCAAACTAATCATTAGTGTGTAAGTTCTCTTCATTAGTGTGTAAGTAACTCTTCATCAGAATAGAATTCAAATTATCCAAGTTTTTTACTTATTATATTTTTTAAAAATTATTGTAAGAATGCCTGCTGTATTGTCAGTCCTAATTATTTCCAAAAGTTCAATCACAAATAAATTACACTTTTTTTTTTTTTTTTTTTTTTGTTATCATAAGGTTTGTTCAAAAGTTTCTTTTAATGATATATGGAAAATCCAAGGCTTCTTGGAAAGTTGGGGAAGGAAGAAGTAAATGTTTATTCAGGAATTCCCATCTTAATAAGCTAGGTAGTGACTTTATACACAAAATGATACATATTTTGCTGAAAATACCACACATAGATAAGCTTTGTCATCTGTGTGTGCACGTATGTGTAGACAGGAAAAAATGTAGTTAAATAGAATTAATATATCTTTTGCAACTAAACTTGTTCTATTGACTCTCTCATTTCCACCTTCTAAAGAAACATTTTCAAAGGATTCAGATATTTTTCTCTCAAGCTATTCCAGTATTGGCATCTAGTTTTATTTTACTTTTTTTTTTAATAAAATGAAACAGTAATAGTAGCTCTTGTTATTTAAGCTTTTCATGTGACTCTTTCATCTCCTAATAATATTTGAAAAGCTTATTTAACAGGTTCAAAAAATATCTGCAATGTTGTTTGCAGATATTCAAATCAGCATACAAAAATCTTGGGATGCTGGGGAAACAGTGTTGTTATTTCCACAGTAAATACAATAACAAGAAAAAAATAATTCACTCCTGTTGATTTTGAATGGTAGATAATATGAGTATACAGCAGAATAGGGATAACTTCCTGGCATAGGAGGGGGCAACATTGTTGTTCCTGTTCTTGTATTTGCCTGTATCCATACCACTACAGTGAAATGACAACGTGCTCAGGGTCACAGGGAATTGAGGTTGGATACTGTAGTTGTGTCTAATTCACACTATGTCTATAAAGTAACACTGTGTTGTTTAATAGAGCGATGCCTTGTGTTCCAGGGCTTTTTGTAAATATTTTGGAAAGAAGCACAGACACCCTTTGCCTCACAATGTCAGGAACTGCAAGGGGAAAACAACCAGAAGCAAGAAGGAGGCCCCGCTACCTACTGTAATGCCATGGCAGGCTGGCAAGGAAATTAAGGTCAAGGCAGCAGAAACTGAGAGCTCCAGCAACTCTGCACACAGCAGGCAGCGCTACATCAGCCCAAACATAGATTTCCTTTCTAGGTGAGGTGTGCAAAGTGGGGAGAAATGCTATATAATTGTATTGTTTGTATGGTGGTTGTGAACAGGTAGCTGACTATATTACTGCATCCTACCGCAACTGCCCCTCTCTGATTTCTGTTTATCAATGGCAGGGAATTGAAGATTAAAGCATAGATCAAGAATACTATACAAGTAGAGAGCTCAGAATGTTTTTTATCAAATCTTCTTTCATTTAGGTAACTCCTGGCTTCTGTACTTCTGTGCCCAGAATGCCAGAGACAATCTCAAAATGGCAGTTTACAGTCTTTTCTTTCATTTGAAAAGTTGTTTCCATGACTTAAGATGTTATGTGAAATCTTTACCTCCCTGTTTTCTTCAGGGGACAACAGCATCATATTTGACTCATTATGTCAAAGATGTAATGTGCACAGAGCATTTGAGGTGGTAGAAGTGAGATTTCCCAGAGTGCTAGAAGAAAAGCATGTTCTTTACAGACCTAATGCAGAAGAGTGCTGTGAAAGGGTATTACTTTGTACTTTGCTATTAATTCCAAGCAGGCATATACAGGACTTATTTATTTATTTATTATTGTTATTATTATTAATTTAAAAAAAAACACAGTATTCTTACTAGTAGTAACTTGATGAACTAACTGACAATAATTTTTGTGAGTACAGTATTTTCTAAATGTGAATTCTAGTGACAGTGTTCATGGGAAGGTCCAGTCAATGTTTTGTGTTTTTTTTTTTTTCAGAATGACAAAACATTGGAATGGTGGCAAACAGAAACCTGGGCAGAACTGTTATACATGTCATGGTATCTTGAGCAATGAATTCTTTCTGTTAATATTAACTGCAAGGTAAAAAATATCTGACAGCTTACAAAATCAACATATCAGCTTGACCGCATTATGTGCTGTTGCAAATAAGAATTCTTAATGCTGTTTAACAAATGCCTTTTTTTTTTTTTTTCTTTCACTTTTCATTAGAGCCTCTTGTTGCAATCCAATCTCAATTTTAGAAATTAAAGCTAACAACTAGATTGAAAGAATCCAGAGGATGACAGCATGGGGCACAGTCTCAAAGCCACAACTAACAGCATGAGGCAAAGCGAACCTCAAGCTATTCCAGCTCTTAGAGAAGGAAGGGGGAGAAAAAAGCATTTGCAGGAAAACTCAATTATAACAACCCACAGCTATACTAAAGTACTTTTGAATGTTGACACTAAAGCTTTTTCTACTTAATGTTTTAATTAAATACCTAGAAGCCAACTATTCTCCTCAGTCAGTGTCAGAGAAGCACTTCTCTATGGATAAATGTTTACAGCAAAAGCTCTGCTGAGGGTTTCAGCAAACAAGTCTCAGAGAACTGAGAAGGCTTTCAGCTGAGGCACTTGAGATCAAGAAAGCACCAGTGATTAGAAACTAGCAGTACAATAACAGGACGATTTAATCCACCCAAATGTCAGTCTCTGGTTTACAAGTTGGCAATCCCATCTTCATCTGCAGACAAAAGGGCACTGGTTAGTCATCTGTTTAATTCTCTTGCTGCAGCATGTCATTTGGATGTTGAAGGAAAATCCCTTGATTCACTCTGCCATTTCTGACAGTCTCCCTCTAGACCACATTAATAAGCTTTTTAGAGAAGCGAATGCAGAATAATCAGCAGGCAGCCTGCACTCAAAATGGAGACAGAACAGACAGCAGAAATGCCTTCTTCCCTTTGTAGTTATGGTGCATAGGTGACCCTTCCCTCACAGAGCAGCAAATGATTTAAACTAAGATTGCCTTTGAAAGCCACAACATAATTAACCATTTTATACATGTGATGTTCGCCTAGTTTCAAAACCTGATGCTTTGCAATCGAAAAGATTCAGCTGCATTTGAGTTATATTTACAAAACATGCTAACAATAGAGCAGACAGATAGAAAGGCTGTCTGGCATCCTGGAATACCTGGGGAATTTTACTGAGAAAACAAACATGTTACTCTTTAATGTAGGCTCACATCTCATTATAATATCACAAGTGGAATGAGACACAGTTTGCCTCTGTAACTGTGTTGCCAGGAGGCAGGTAAGTGTTGTGCTACAGACAATCTTGCTAAGATCTGCATGATTTTAATACATTTTGAAAGCAAATAATTTGTTAGATAATGGGGGTCTTGCTGTGGATATTTCCTTTTTTTTTTTTTTTTTTTATCTATTAATTTCTCTACTGCCAGCTTTAAACTGGATTTGTCAATAGCTTTGTTTAACCTAATGTGCACTGCCTCTTTAAGGTGCGGCTGAAAAACAAACCATTCCAAGGTATCCTTCTTATTTTGTATTGGGAAGGATTTACTGGTAAAGCATTACTAAACACTGAAAATGAAAAAGCAGAAGCCTTGGAGCCCTGAAAACTTTTTTTCTTTCGCTTGGAGATGAAAGAAGTAAGCACCATTGAAAATCAAGCTCAAGATATGCAAATACAGACAAGAAAAGTGAAAGAACATTAAAAGGAGAAAGGAAGAAGTGTAATCCTGTGTGATGTGGTAAGATGTAGGTAAGCTTGAAGAGGATTTTGTGAAGCATAAAATTGACAAAACCTGCTATTAATTATTGTGCTGATGCTATCAGTGGCATTACCATAATCAAAAAGTGAGGCGTGAGCATAATTCACAAGGCACAAGTTAGCTTGGGGGTTAAATCACTTATTCTCAAAGGAGATTTTAAGAAAAAACATAATTAAATATAAGAGAGAGCAGAAGAATGCTTTTATGTAGCCCATGTAGTCAGTAATATCTTGGTAACAAATTCAGAAATACTGGCCTGTTTGCATGCGAAGAGATAGAAGAAGATGGAAGGAGTCCTTGTGTTATCAATAACAGCTACCAAGAAAGAAGACAGGAGCCCACTTAACCAACTTATCATTATAGAGAAGAAGCTAGGATCTCTCTCTCTCTCTCTCTCTCTTTTTTTTTTTTTTTTTATTAAGTAATGACACAAAAATAATAGTATAGGCACTTTACAGACAGATACTACCATAGAGCCGCTTCCAGAAAGAGCTTAAATAATGTACCTGCAATATAGTAAAAGACTGTACCGAAAGGAAAAGGATGGGATATTTATTTTTATGAAATACCTTCTTTACCTGTTTTCCCTTTTGGAGAGACAACCACAACAGCAAAGACACCCACCTTAACAATGTCACTGTTCTAGAATATGTTAATTGTCAACAATAGCATCTTCAAGAGGAAAGGTAAAAAATAGATGAAAATGAGACCAGAACACTGGGTTACCCATATGGTTTTACTCTTGCAAATTTAAGCTATTAAAGAAGCTGGGACAAATTCAATATTTACAGTAGTTGCATGTTAACAAGTCAACACTTACCAACTGTTACAGGCAAAGTTGAATAAAAATGTTTGCATGTTTTACTTTGAAGAAAAACATCGCATTCATTTTGACTCACAACATATATTATTCACAGATGCAAATATTCATGTAAACAAATCTGTATTTATAGTAGTATTGTAATCTCTCAGGCTAATAACTATTTTCATTACTATTCACTCTGGAGACAGTCGTACAGCAGTGTTAAAAGTCCTGGTAATTCTGAGATTCGAACAATGAAAAATTAAGAGTCATAATCATGTCAGTGATGATATAAGATAAGCAACAGATTTGGTAGGCTATTTAAGGTAAATGGCACAATTAGAATACATAAAGACTTTTTGTTTGTTTCTTTGTTTAGTTCTCATTGTTTTGTTGTCAAGATGAAAACCAAACCATATACCCTGGCTCCTTGATCCGTTTACCACTTTAAGCAAACCATACAATTGCCTTGAGAATCCTTCTCCAAGTAGGGCTCCAGGAACAGTGATCAATGAAGGCAATGGATATTACTCTCATTGGTAAGCAGAAAATACATGTTAATGTGCCTGTTACAAGGCTCTGTTGGGTCAGAGTAATTTTGACAGGTTGAACTGTGGATAAAATTCTCCATTTGCAAGGAAATCTCATAGGAAAAAAAATGTAATATTTCTTGTGGAACACAGTATTTGAAAAGTAGAAGATTAAACCTTTTGTGATTTTACATGGAACTGCTTGTAGATTTCAAGATCAATGATATGTTTTAATGAGGGAATAAGTTAATACAAAAGTGTTATAAATCTGATAATATTCTTTTACCTATAGAATGGTATTTCTTGGTAAGGAAAAAGTTGAAATGAAGAATCAATACTGAAGACAGACCTTTGAATAATATAGGACAGGTCTATGTAACAAAGCTAAATGTAAATTTGAATAGTGAAGAAAGTAAAGTTATTTATGCTTCTCGTCTGCTGAAAGGAGTTATAGGAATGATAGGTTTTGTATCAAATCAAACTTGGCAGCAGCTGTGGCCTATGTTTCAAACTAAAAATGTTTTATGCTCCTTGAAATTCAGCTATGACCTTCTGAATGTTTATAAATCACTTTTGTTATCTGTTTCAAACCCAGTGCCAGTAAAGTGACTCTGATTAGTCAGCCTCCAAATTCTCTTGGAAAATTTGTAATAACAGGACTCCTATCCCCCTGTACACAAAAGTACTATCTCTAGGCCCATTTCTGAGACTGGAAAGAACTATTTGGAATTTGCTGGTTTGAATCCAAAATGGCCAACAGCACAAGAAGCAGCTGTGCAGTGTTGTGTCATGGCATTGTTGGGTCTACAGAAGCAGACACCGAGCAGATGGTACAATATGGTTAATCAATTTGGTGACAAAAATCAAGTGAAATACATTTAACAGCTTGTTCTGGATACCATTTTCAAGCAATTGAAAGAGAATAAGGTTATGAGGAGTAGTCAGCATAGATTCAACAAGGGGAAATCATGCCCGACCAACTTCGTTGCCTTCTATGATGGCATCACCAGCTGGGTAGATGAGGGGAGAGCAGTGGATGTCATCTACCTTGACTTTAGCAAGGCTTTTGATACTGTCTCCCATGACATCCTGCTAGGAAAGCTGAGAAAGTGTGGGATAGACAAGTGGACAGCAAGGTGGGTTGAGAACTGGCTGACTGGTCAACCTCAGGTGGTCGGTGGTGCAGAATGGTGATTGGCGGTGCAGAGTCCGTCTGGAGACCTGTGACTAGCAGTGTTCCCCAGGGAGAACAGTGCTGGGTCCAGTCTTGTTCAACATCTTCATTGATGACCTTGTCAAGGGAATAGTGTCTGCCTTCAGCAAGTACACTGATGATACAAAGCTGGGAGGAGTGGCCGACATACCGGAAGGCTGTGCTGCCATTCAGCGAGACCTGGACAGTCTGGAGAGCTGGGCAGGAAGAAACCAAATGAAGTTTAGCAAGAGCAAGTCCTGCACCAGGGAAGGAACAATGTCATGTATCCAGATGACCTGCTGGAGAGGAGCTCTGCAGAGAAGGACCTGGGGGTCCTGGTGGATGACAGGTTGACCATGAGCCAGCAGTGTGCCCTTGTGGCCAAGAAGGTCAATGGGTCCTGGTGTGTATTAAAAAGAGTGTGGCCAGCAAGTCAAGGGAGGAGATCCTCCCCCTCTACTCTGCCCTGGTCAGGCCTCATCTGGAGTACTGTGTCCAGTTCTGGGCTTCCTGGTACAAAAAAGACAGGGATCTCCTGGAAAGAGTCCAGCTGAGGGTCACAAAGATGATATGGGGCCTGGAGCATTTTCCCTATGAGGAAAGGTTGAGAGACCTGGGTCTATCTGGTCAGCCTTGATAAAATAAGTCTGAGAGGGAATCTGATTAATCTTTACAAATATCTTAAGCGTGGGAGACAGAGGGATTTGGCCAACCTCTTTTCAGTGGTTTCTGGGGACAGGACAAGGGGCAGTGGCCACAAAATGGTTCACAGGAAGTTCAGCACCAACATGCAAAAGAACTTCTTCATGATGAAGGTGACGCAGCACACGAAAAAGCCACCCAGGGAGGTTGTGGAGTCTCCTTCTCTAGAGATATTCAAGGCCCGTCTGGATACCTATCTGGGCAACCTGCTCTAGGGAAAATGCTTTGGCAGAGGGACCTGATGATCTCTTGAGGTCCCCTCCAAATTCAGTGATTCTGTGATTTGATTTGTATAAGCATGGTAAAAACTAGCAAACCCACAAAAAGAAGGACTGCTAGACAAGGAAACTTTTCAGAGTGCCTTAGGCAGGTAGAGACATCTAGACCAAAACATCTTGTATTTGTTGCAGCAAAATGTTGGCTTTAGAGCATCACTAGGGGAGAGTTCAGAGTGGTGTAGAACAGCTGCTGAGGGAGAAACATTTTAGAATTTCAGGCCAAACCAGGCAAAAACCATACCATTCTTCATGATCTACAACTGAATTATTTTGAGATGAACATTATAGTTCAAGCTCAAGGTAGTGTCAGTGTTCCTTAGGCTGTTAGGAAAATTGTAGAGTTCACTGGATCTGGCCCCTCTCCATTATTATGATATGGCTGTGTTTTCACATCTTTCGTCCGTTGATTACAGCAGCTTAGAATTATAGAAACCACTGAAAGAGACAACTGTAAAATCAAATTTGCTTTACAGGCATATACCTCTAGTTAAATTAAATTTTGCCCACTTACCAATAATGTAAAAGATAGTACTGAAAGACCAGAATATTGTATGAATCAAGAGCCATTTTTGACTTCAGTAGACTAAACCAGCAAAGCATAAAAAATTACTCTCTTTGCTTCATTTCTGATTTCTTTGTTGCATCCAAGTTTTTTTTTAAAAAAAAAAAAAAAAAACACACACAAAAAAAAACACAACATAAATACTGTTCCTGAAATAAAACTCTCACAATAAAGGCTTCCAAGTCTTTGTTAAGTCCAATGTCTTCATATACTCATGTGACTATTCAAAATTACTCATGACTAAAGCAGCTGTGAATGCCTGTGAAATGAAAAACCTTTGTTTTATGTACGATGAATATAAACTGTGTTTCTCTTCTTGCAAAATACTTTAAGCATTAGTTCTCTACTTTTTTTTATTTTCATTATTGTAATTAAAAATGTTCAAATTACCATTGGCAGAGAGTGTTTGTTTAAAAAAAAAAAAAAAAAGAGAGAGAGAGAGAGAGAGAAAAAGAAAGAAAAAGAAGAAGGAAGGAAGGAAGGAAGGAAGGAAGGAAGGAAGGAAGGAAGGAAGAAAAAAAAAAGAAAGAAAAGAGAGTCATTGGCATCTCTTGCATAGGATAATGCCCCTGTGGAGAAGTGAATTGTTTGAACAGGTTGGTTAGCTGCTGTCTAGCCAGTGACAGTAACTATCTCCAGTGACTTCAGCTGGATTTACTCAAATTCCCTGAAGCATTTTTTGCTTCACCCAGCTGGCCCATGGTCCTATGTGATCAATTCTGTATCTGCAAAAATTGTCTCCACTAATTACGAGTGTGTTATCCATGTACAGTTTGTTCAATTCTATACCTGGAGCTGTCTGGATAAGTTTCTGGAATGATCAGGATGTTATTCAATATATTTAAACATGCAAATAGCGTCAGTCTGTTGGACTATGTACTACATATACTGCCTGTGGGAAGCTTAGGCACTGTCTGAAATTCTCACCTGAATAACTCTTGCAGCTATTGGTCAACTGCTTTGTTTTGAAGTCAATAAGGATTTCAGTCAAATGTCTTGTTGCAGGTCACTTTGTTCTCCCAAATCAGCCTGCTGTTTTCCCTGTGCAGAAAGTAGCACTGAAGCTTCTGGATCACACAGGAAAACTGAGTGTGTTTGCTATGCTTACTGGTACAGCTTTGATAAAAAACTACACTGAAACTGAAACTAATTGTCCTTCTTATAGCAGAATTATAACTTAAATTCCAGAGTTCTTGCCACACCAGCTCCCAAACGGCTGTCTCTTGTGGCTTGAAGTGGTCATTGTCAGTTATATAATGCTCTAAACAATGAGCATGAGAGCTAGGTGAAAGTCCTTAAGTTCTATCCTTATAGACACTCTCTTTTACTTACTTTTTTATTTATTTTGGATAATGACACATTTTCCATTGGAAATTATATTTGTGGAAACTTGCTACCATCTGAATCGATGCTGCTGCCCATTTTTTCAATAATGTCTTATTCTTGGAGTATTCACCCAGAAATGGGAGTCGTGGCTTCAGCAGTAAAGTCTAAAGGTATGGTCCAGCTCTTCAAAATCAAAAGAATCTAGATTATGAGTAGCCATAAAAATGGAGTGATCACATTTTTAGTGTTGGCTTGATCAGGAATCAAACAGAAACCAGTCAGGAAAACACAGATTCTTGCTTGGTGTTTCAGATACAACAGGACTTGCACTAGTTCTTATGTCTAGAGGGCTTCCAGTAATATTTATCTTCCTACATGACATCTTTTAAACTCTTCTGTACTAGTAGAGGACTAAAGATTATATAAACAGTTGAATCCTAACATTCTGTTTTATATTCAGTAAAATATAAACAAAAGTTTCCAAAAGCTTCTTTTGTTTTTGATAGTTCTTAAACCAGTATGATGTTTATCATCAATCAGCTCTGTTTTTTGCAATGATTTGCAGACTTGCATCAAATAAATGGACAGACTAATATAGCTGCCATAATGTCAGCCATTGGAATTTCATTAACAAAGTAATTTTCTATCTCTAGTCATTTACTACCCTTACTATCCTATTGCATCCATTTCAGATGTAATTCCTTTGAATTGAAAGTCTACTTGTCTAGGACTGTCCTATCACTCGAGTAAGAAAATAATTACCTGAGCAAAACAAATTGCATTTGGTCTGTGGTTCCTTGCATTACAGGGAGGAGAGTTCTCTTGTGTTCACTTTTTTATTATTATTGTTATTATTGTTGTTGTTATTATTATTATTATTATTAAAGTGATAAGATTTAATGCTTATGAGTCTTGATCTGAACTCTTAATTTCAGTCTCCCATTGAATCAAATTGTTGTTCCTTACATAGGATAGCCTGTTGCTTAAGACATATAACAAGCTGGCCCCAGCAGATGTCTCCTTTCTTATTGGTTTTATTAACTTCATTTTGTATTAA